TGAAAATAAAGGCAATCCATTCTCATCGGGATGCACAAACTTCAGAGTTTCGACATTAAAAAGGCATGTTGCATCATATCAGCATGAGGCTGCACTGGAGTCACAATCACCTATAGGCGTAACATGAACAGACAATCTATGGCTTTTCTTGAATCTAAAAATGAAGATGCTGTTTGTGCCATGCGCTCTGTCTACTGGTTAGCTGAAGAACAGGTGCCAACTTCCAAGTATAAGTCCCTTCTAAATTTACAAAAGTTACAGGGATGTTCATTTCCTGATGAATTGCAGTTAAAAAATATTTATGCAAGCACATGTAAAAATATGTCACAAATCCTATAGTTTCTCAAGCCTATCAATATTTTTGTGCCCCCACTATAGGGGGGGGTGGCATTTAGATTTACCCTTGTCCGTCCGTCCTTTCCCTTTTTGTCCCCCGCCTTTTCGAAGAAAAAAGGGGGATATAGAAATAGGCTCCGTCCGTCTGTCTGTCCGTCCGTCCTTCCGTCCGTCACACTTTCGTGTCCGGTCCATAACTTTGTCATTTATGAAAGGAATTTTAAATAACTTGGCACAAATGTTTATTATAATAAGACGATGTGTCATGCGCAACAACCAGACCCCTACCTCCAGGGTCAAGGTCACACTTGCTCATTCAAGGTCAAAATTGCCTATTTGAGGGTATATGTCGTGTCCGGTCCATAACTTTCTTATCTATGAAGGGATTTTGTAAATACTTGCCATAATTGTTCACAATAATCAGACGATGTGTCATGCGCAAAAACCAGTCACCTACCTTCAAGGTCAAGGTCACACTTGGCAGTCAAATATTAACATAGTCTGTTACAGGGTATATTTCGTGTCCGGTCCATAACTTTCTTATCTATGAAGGGATTTTGTAAATACTTGCCATAATTGTTCACAATTATCAGACGATGTGTCATGCGGAAAAAGCAGTCACCTACCTTCAAGGTCAAGGTCACACTTGGAGGTCAAATATTAACATAGTCTGTTACAGGGTATATTTCGTGTGGATTACTTAGTAAAAATTTGCAATTTTTAACTTGTGTCGCACGTTACTCAAAAAGTATTTGACCTAGAGTCATGAAACTTTACAGGAATGTATATCAGCATGTTTAGTTGTGCACCTGGGTATTTTTTTGTCTGGATGTATTTAGTATTTTTAGAGTTATTGCCCTTGACTTAGTAAAAATTTGCAATTTTCAACTTGTGTCCCATGTAACTCAAAAAGGATTTGTTCTAGAGTCATGAAACTTTAGGAATGTTGATCAGCATGTGTAGTTGTGCACCTGGGTATTTTTGTGTGGATCTATATAGTATATTTAGAGTTATTGCCCTTGACTTAGTAAAATTTTGCAATTTTCAACTTGTGTCGCATGTAACTCAAAAAGGATTTGACGTAGAGTCATGAAACTTTACAGGGATGTTGATCAGTATGAGTAGTTGTGCACCTGGGTATTTTCGTCTCGATTTATTCAGTATTTTTAGAGTTATTGCCCTTGACTTAGATATTATTTGCAATTTTGAACTTGTGTCACATGTAACTCAAAAAGGATTTGACATAGAGTCATTAAACCTTACGGGAAGGTTGCTCAGCATAATTATGTAGTAGTGCACCTGGGGTTTCGCTTGTGAATTTATCTAGTATTTGTTGAGTTATTTCCCTTGACTTATTAAAAACCGTTTCATTATGTTGTTATTTGTTCCTTGATTGCTTGAGTTAGAATCAATCAACTTTACAGGAATAATGATCAGCATCACTAAATTACAGGAATAATGATCAACATCACTGTGAAGCTATGCACCTGGGACTTTGCATGTGGATTTTTTTTTCAGTTTTGTTAGAGTTTTTAATTTGCAATTTTCAACTTGTTCATGCATAGCTCAAAAAGTATTTGACTTGTAGGCCTGAAAGTTTACAAGAATGTTGGTCAGCATGTGTACTTATGCACTGCAAGTGTACCTATGCACCCTGGGGTTTGCTTGTGGATTTATTTAGTATTTGTAAAGTTCTTGCCCTTTACTTAGTACTGTAAAAGATTTTTAGTTTTCAACTTGTGGCACATGTAGTCCAAAAAATATTTGACCTAGAGTCATAAGATTGACACAATTTACACACCTGTAAAACAAACTGTTGCTTCTCGCGGAATCACATTAAACCATATTGTTGCTTTTGGATCAGACGGTGCATCGGTGATGACTGGTAATAAAAATGCGGTTGTTGCACTTATAAGATCTAATGATTCCCCATATGTTTTTGGTGTACATTGTTCTGTCATTGATTAGCTTTATGCTCTAGTCAAGCTGCCGAAAAGGTACCCTACCTAAAAATCTATCAGCAAATTTTATCTGATGTTTTTTTTATTATTTTAAAAGATCAGTCAGGAGGGAAAAACTGAAATCTAAACAATTTTAAAAGATCCTTTATTACAGTACAAAGAGTTACATAGTGTGAGATGGTTTTCCATGTTTTCTGCTCTTGAAGCAGTGTATCGAAACTGGCCATCTTTTGCTACTTACATGAAATCTCTAGTAGAGTCATCAAAATTTTTAATGATAGTTTGGCTAAAGGTTTTTTTAAGAAAATCACAACTTTTATGTTTTTTGCTTTTACATACTTGTTCATGGACATAATACCAAGAGTAACCCAGCTAAGTCTCTTTTTCCAGAAAGAAAGAATTGATATTGCTATGTTAAAACCTAGTGTTGAAAGTGTTGTGCAACAGTTGCAGTGGCTAAAAACAAATAATGGGCCTCATCTGAGTGAATTCTTGTCCGAGGCAGGAGGATAATAGTTGAATTTAAAAGTATTAAAGTGATTGATACACAAGTTTATAGGCAGCAATTCATTAATACAAAGGAGAAGTTTCTGAATAATTTGATTAGTGAAATTTGCAAACGTTTTCCTGCAATAGCTACAGATGTTGTATCAAATATGGCTGTTCTTAGTTTGGTCTTTAATGTCTTGTGATGAAAGAAAAGAATATGGTGATTTACAAATAAAATCATTAGCAGAATACTAAAGTGCCAGCAGAATACAGGAAAACTCTACAACTGATGATTTCATCAATACAGAAGAAGCTCTTTCTGAATGGGCACAGTGTAAGGACCTTGTTGTCCAGCAGAATTATCCTTGTCATACAGTTTTATCTACATGGAAACTCTTGTCCACTAATGACCCTGATAGTTTTCCTAACTTGAAAAAAGTATGGTAGCTGTTATTGCTCCTCTTCAGACAGCTACTGTGGAAAGGGGATTTAGCATTCAAAATTACATTAAAGTAGCTTCACGTAACAGGCTATCTGGAGAAAGGCTGAATGGTTTAATGCAAATATCACTTGGACCTGCTCTGGAACATTTTGACTTTCATAAAGCATTGGGCAAGTGGAAAAAAGCCAAAAAGAGGAAACTTTACACACACTGAACATGAAGATGCCAAAAAAGAGATTAATTAAATAAAAACTGAAAATGAGGCTGAAAATATGATGTTTAACATATTATAAAATAAATAAAATATAATACCTTGTACATTTTTGCCTGTATTAAGTTTAAGTGAAGTTATTGTTATCCCCCGCTGATGTAATTGGGAGGGGGATATTGTTTTGGCGTTGTCCTTCCGTCCGTCGTTCGGGCGAACATCCAATGGTGCTTCATTCCTTCAATAATTTTAGTTAAAAAAAGGAGGAAATCCCATAAACCGACTGGTTTATGTGGTAAATTTTACTGGTTTATGGGGAAAATTGCAACATAAAGATCAAAGAAAAAGCACATAAACCCAAATGTTGGCACGTCCGTCCGTCCATCTGTCCACCGAATTTTGTTTCCGCACTGGTTCTCTGCAACTACTGGCTGGAATTCAACAAAATTTTATGGGAATCGTCAAAATTAAGAGGAGATTCGCATATTGTCAGCTTGTTCCAGTCAGACCCTTTAACTCAGAGTTATGGCCCTCGATTAGTAATGCAGTTTGCACCTAGAGCAAAAATCGTTTCTGTGCTACTTCTCTGCAACTACTGGCTCGAATTCAATGAAACTTTATGGGAACCTTCAATACCAAGAGGAGATGCGCATGTCGTCGCCTTGTTCCCGTCAGACACTTTAATTAAGAGTTATGGCCCTTGATTAGTTTTGCAGTATGCATGTAGAACAATATTCGTTTCCGCACTACTTCTCTGCAACTACTGGCTGGAATTAAATTAAAGTTTATGGGAACCATTAATACCAAGAGGCGATGTGCATATTGTTGCCTTGTTCAGACCAGATCCCTCATTACAGAGTTATCATATGGCCCTTGATTAGTTTTATAGTATGTATATAGAGCAATTTTGCTATTTCTTTGCAACTGCTGTATTGATTTCAACAAAACTTTATGGCAACCATCGATACAAAAAGGGACTTTACATCTCATTGGCATGTCCAGATATTACTATTTAACACAGACTTAGTGCTCTGTTATATTTATCATGTACAAAGAATATTACTGTTTATGCCATGATAAATATATAAATAAAGTCTTATGTCTTCAGTTGTTGTGTTAGTAATAACGGGTTCTTGGCAGGGGATATAAATTCAACAAATTTAATTGTTTTATTTGAAAATATATTTTCAAGACCCTTTTCATTTGAAACAAAAGGGTCAAATATGACCCCCAAAATTTTTGACATAGAGAAAACACTGGAAGACCTCACTTATGATAGCTTTTTGACCCCCTTAAGGGTCAACCTTACTGTTACTTAAAATAGAAAATCAGTTTCCGGTCAATAACTAGATTTAGGAATGAAATACTATTATTAATATCCTAGGACCAAGGTCAAGATAATTTTAATTTTTCCATCTGCTGTTATTACAAAATACTTAATTATTTCTTTACAATGGCGATAATTGAAAACCTAGTTTCGTGGCATTACCATTTTACTGGTTTTATTTAATTATTATTATTATGGTGTTTAAATATTTGTTGTTTTTTTTTTACCTTATTTCAGTGTCTGTCTGCACACGACTTGTTGCAGTTAGTAGATAGTGACAAAGGTGGAGTAATAACTAAAGATTTGTTTAAGGAACTTTGTCCAAGTCTTCTTTATCAGATAGATGAAGATTCTTGTCATAGTTTCCATGATAAACATACAGGATTCCATGGCAGTCATAATAGTTTCCATGATCACAGTGATCATGACCATGCTCACACAACTGGTACAGGAAGTGCTACTGTAGATTTATCTAATGTTCCTTTAAAAGGTATGCTATTGTTTTACTTATAAAAATAAAAGAATGATTAATCTAATGACACAAGATAACATATTAAATTATGTGTAATCATCTTTTTAACATGATACAAATTATACAAAATATTATTCTTCTGATTTGGTTCTGATGATGTTATTCTTTAAATTTGAAAACCTAGTTTGGGCTTTTGTACTTTTTTTTTAGCTCACCTGAGCTTGCTGAGGGTGAGCTTTTAGGATCGTTGAATGTCCTTCGGACATTGTCCGTCGTCTGTCATCCGTTCACATTTGTTCGTTAACACTCTAGTGGTCACATTTTTGACTCAAGCGTCATCAAACTTGGTCAGGATGCTTGTCTAGGTAATTGCTAGGATGAGATTGGGTCATGAAAACTAGGTCACAGGAGCTAAAAATAGAAAAATATTGTTAACACTCTAGTGGCTACTGTTTTGATCTTAATATCCTGGAAATTAGTCTGCAAGTTTGTTTTGATGACTTCTAGGTCAAGTTCGAATATGGGTCACTTGGGGTCAAAAATTAGGTCACACTGCCCAAATATGGAAAAACCTTGTTAACGCTCTAGTGATCACATTTTGCACTCGATCATCATCAAACGTTGTCACGATGCTTGTCTTGATAATTGCTCTGATGAGTTTGAACATGGGTCATTTTGAATGAAAAACTAGGTCACAGGAGCTAAAAATAGAAAATCTTGTTCATACTACTGTTTTGATCCAAATATCTTGGAAATTGGTCTGAAAGTTTGTTTTGACGATTTTGAGGTCAAGTTTGAATATTGGTCACCTGGGATCAAAAACTAAGTCACACTGCTCAAATATGGAAAAACTTTGTTATCACTGTAGTGCTCACATATTTGAAATTTGGTCAGATTCTTTTCTAGGTAATTGCTCGGATGAGTTCCAACATGGGTCATCACGGATGAAAAACAAGGTCACAGGAGCTAAAAATAAATAATCTTGTTCACACTCTAGTGGCTACTGCTTTGATCCAAATATCCTGGAAATTGGTCTGAAAGTTTGTTATCCCCCGCGGAAAGGCGGCAGAGTAGAAATAGTCTTTGTCTGTCCGTCGATCCTTCTGACATTTTTGTCCGGAGCATATCTCAAAAAATGTTAGAGGTATCAACTTGAAACTTAAGGTGGATGGATGTCATTGAGGAGGAGTGCAGTGCACAAGAATGATATCTATACCCTGCATAATTTTTAGCTTGACTATACGAAGTATATGGAGAGCTGTCCTACTCGCCCTAGCATCCGCGTCCAGATTTCAGATTAGTTTCGGTGCAGTAAAATATTTTCTACTATAACTTTTTCATTTCTTAAGGTATCAACTTCAAACTTCAAATATATGTTTTTTATCATCAACCACATCTTATGTGACAAGGTTCATAACTCTAGCACCAATATTTTCAGATTTATCTCCCCTTAGACTTAGAATTTTCCTTAAAAAGTACTTTTTTAGCTCATCTGTCACAAAGTGACAGGGTGAGCTTTTGTGATCGCTTTTCGTCCGTCGTCCGTCCGTCGTCCGTAAACTTTAACTTTAAATGACATCTCCTCATAAACCGCTGAGCCAATTTCATCCAAACTTCACAGGAATGTTCCTTTGGTGGTCACCTTTAAAAATTGTTCAAAGAATTTAATTCCATGCAGAACTCTGGTTGCCATGGCAACCGATACAAAAAACTTAAAATATCTTCTTTTAAAAAACCCAAAGAGGTAGAGCTTAGATATTTGGCATGAAACATCTTCTAGTGAGTGTCTATCAAGTTTGTTCAAATAAAAGCCCTGGGGTCAAAATTGGCCCCATCCCAGGGGGTCATTGATTTTCCCTATATGCATATAGTAAAAACTTAAAAATCTTATTTTAAAGAACCCAAAGAGCTAGAGCTAAGATATTTAGCATGAAACATCTTCTAATGGGTGTCTACAAAGTTTGTTCAAATAAAAGCCCTGGGGTCAAAATTGGCCCGGCCCCAGGGGGTCATTGATTTTCCCTACATGCATATAGTAAAAACTTATAAAATCTTCTTTTAAAGAACCCAAAGAGCTAGAGCTAAGATATTTAGCATGAAAACCCTGGGGTCAAAATTGGCCCCGCCCCAGGGGGTCATTGATTTTCCCTATATGCATATAGTAAAAACTTAAAAAAACTTCTTTTAGAGAACCCAAAGAGCTAGAGCTAAGATACTTAGCATGAAAGATGTTCTAATGGGTGTCTACCAAATTTGTTCAAGTAAGAGCCCTGGGGTTAAAATTGGCCCTGTTCCGGGGGTCATTGATTTTCCTTATATGTGTATTGCAAAAGCTTTTTAGAAAAATCTTCTTTGAAAAAACCCAAATAGCTAGAGTTTAGATATTAAGCATGAAACATCTTCCAGTTAGTGTCTTCAAAGTTTGTTCAAATAAAAGCCCTAGGGTCAAAATTGGCCCTGCCCCGGGGGACATTAATTTTCCTTATATGTGTATAGCAAAAACTTAAAAATCTTCTTTGAATAAAAACAAATAGCTAGAGTTTAGATATTAAGCATAAAACACCTTCTAGTGAGTGTCTTCAAAGTTTGTTCAAATAAAAGCCCTGGGGTCAAAACTGGCCCCGCCCTAGGGATGTCATTGCTTTTAACTATATGTGTATAGTAAAAAGTTAAAAAATCTTTTTTTTTAAAAACTCAACGAGCTAGACCTTAGATGTTTAGCATGAAACATCTTCTAATGGGTGTCTACCAATTTTGTTCAAATAAAAGCCCTGGGGTTTAAACTGGCCTCGCTCTGTGGGCCTATATACAGGTAAGCGACTTCAGGGCCATCATGGCCCTCTTGTTTTACTATAACTTTTCATTTCTTAAGGTATCAACATCATACTTCAAATATATGTTCCTTAACAACAACCACATCTTATGTGACAAGGTTCATAACTCTAGCACCAATATTTTCAGGTTTATCTCCCCTTGAACTTAGAATTTTCCTTAAAAAATACTATTTTTACTTTAACTTTTTCATTTCTCAAGGTATCAACTTCATACTTCAAATGTATGTTCCTTATCAACAGTCACATCTTATGTGACAAGGTTCATATATGTTCCTTATCATCAGTCACATCTTATGTGACAAGGTTCATAACTCTAGCACTAATATTTTCAGATTTATCTTCCCTTGAACTTAGAATTTTTCTTAAAAAATATTTTTTTTTTACTATAACTTTTTCATTTCTTAAGGTATCAACTTCAAACTTCAATTATATGTTCCTTAACAACAACCACATCTTATTCAACAAGGTTCATAACTCTAGCACCAATATTTTTAGATTTATCTCCCTTTGGACTTAGCTTTTTTGTAAGAAATATTATAACTTCTTTATTTTTTAAGGTATTTTCTTCAAACTTCAAATATTTATTTCTTATCATTACACACATGTTGTGTGACAAGGTCCATAACTCTAGTGTGACTATTTCTAGAATTATTCCCCTTTGAACTTAGAATTTATGTTTACAACTATAACTTCTTGTCATAAAAAGAAATATATTTATATCATAAAACTCTAGGGTAAAAAACTAGGTCACACAGTCCAGATATGGAAAACCCTTGCTAACACTCTAGAGACTACTGTTTTGAACCAAATATCCTGGAAATTGGTCAGTAGATTTCTAGGTCAAGTTTGAATATGGATCACCTGAGGTCAAAAACTAGGTCACACAGCCTAAATATTGGAAAACCTTATTAACACTCTAGGGGCTACTGTTACTGCTACAAAATATCCTGGAATTTGGTCAGAATGGTTGTTATGATGATTTCCAGGTCAAGTTCGAATATGGGTCACTTGTGTTAAGAAACTCGCTCACACAGTTCTAATATGTAAAAACCTTGTTTACACCATAGAGGCTACTGTTGTGATTCAAATAACTTGAAAATTGTTCAGAAAGGTTGTTTTGGTGATTTCTAGGTCAAATTTTAATATGGGTTATCTGTGGTCAAAAACTAAATCACACAGTCCAAATAAAATGGGATTGAGCCTTCATAATCAGGTGAGGGATATAAGGGCCATCATGGCACTGTTGTTTCAAATAATTGCCATAGGGTCAAAATTGGCCCGGCCCCAGGGGCCATTGATTTTCCTTATATATATATATACACTACAGCCACTTTATAATGCTTATGTTGGGGTCCAATGTCTCAACACCGTGTTCTAACGAGGCTCTCATTAGAACGCTCATTGCAAAATCCGCATTACCCCATCCACCGCCTATACATACAACCCTGATAATTTTTACTTACTGTTCAATGAATATCCACATGATCTTTTTCTAAAACAATTTAATGATGTAAACATATACATGGGTGAAAGTTTTCAGGATTATTCCTGAAGTTCAGGATTTTCAGTCTTCTTAAAGCCTTCTATTTCCTATGTAAATCTACAGAAAAACTGCTAAATTCAGGATTTTCAGGATTTTTAAAATTTCCAACTTTCACCCATGCATATATCATATTCACAAATAATACTAATTATACCCCCAAACGAAGTTTAGGGGGGTATATAGGAGTCACCCAGTGGTTGGTCGGTCGGTCCAGCCTTCCGCTGCATTTTCCTTGTCCGGAGCATAACTTGAAGACTAATGGTTGGAATTCAGTACAACTTCATACAATGGTCAAGCACATTGAAAGGAAGTGCAGTGCACAAGAACCATAACTCCATCTTCACTAATTACAGAGTTATTGCTCTTTGTTACTTTTCCTTGTCCGGAGCATAACTTGAAAACTACTGGATGGAATTCAAAACAACTTCTTACAATGGTCAAACACAATAAGGTGAAGTCCAGTGCACAAGAACCGTAACTCTATCTAAATTTATAACGGAGTTATTGCCCTTTGTTACTTTTCCATTTTTTAGTCCCCTACCGGTTTAACATTTTATGCATTCATAATAATAAAGCAGTGATTTACTTGATAAAACATCTTAATAACAAACCTTTGTACCTTTTTTGTCAAATTTATGTATTCATAGGTAATTAGTATTATTATACTCAATAAAAAACCCTTGTGACATTACCTTCCGAATAGTCAAGCCAATTCTGTATAATTAGACTCTCTCTAAGGCCTATAACATGAATTTATAAAAAAAAATTAGCCCTTTTACTATCAAGCACTGAGAATAGTCGAGCATGCTGTCCTACAGACAGCTCTTGTTTTTCACAAAGGCAATCTTGTTTTATTTCAGTATGGGGATTCAGTTCAATAGCAGTGATTGTTATCTCCCTTGTTGGGTTGCTTGGTGTTGCTGTTATACCTATTATGCAGAAAGTATTCTACAACCACATGTTGCAGTTCCTTGTTGCCCTAGCTGTTGGAGCCCTGTCAGGAGATGCACTCCTTCATCTGTTTCCACATGTATGTTGAAAATAACAATTACTTCGTTGAAAATAACAATTAAAACTTCTGTCAAAATTTCTATAATAACTGTTAAATGGAGATATCATTTATCATTTTTGTAGTGAACAAAATTTAGTTCAGGAGCCCATACTTAGATGCTAAATGTCATATCATAGTGTATTGATAGTCGTGTCCCGTCAATATCCTTGTCATTCAATCACAGATTTTGAAATTACTTGCATAATTTAATGTGTACGGAATTTAACAATTTGTGATGAGCTAGAACAAGTATGAGGTTACACTAAGACTAAACATATAGTTTGTAAAAGAAAATTGTCATATCCTGATCAGCGTTGCATCTAGGCCGCGCGATTGCACGATTTGTGCATTTTTTATGCAGATTGTGCATTTTAATGAAGTCGCACATCTAACAATCTTTTCAACTTAATTCAGTTTATCTTCATCGTATCTTTAACGCTTCAGCCATGTTTGGTTATGACTAAAATACGTACTTAATCCCATGTAGCAGCCGACTGAGTCATCTCGCGTGTGTTTTGTAGTATTCGTCAATATATTATTTTTTCTACTTCCGTTTTTGAGCGTACGATTGCTGTCAAAAATGCCTAAACGTAAAATAAATGAATTCTATTTGGTATGTCATATTGTAAGGTAAATGTATGTCCCCCACATTTTTGTGTCGCCTTGAAAAAGGCGCCATATAGGGGTTACTTTTGTCGGCGGTGTCGGCGTCGTTGTCGGCGTCGGCGTCCCCTTAAGCTTGTCCGGAGCATAAGTCAGTCATTATAAGTCCGATTGACTTCAAACTTGGTATGCATGCTTCTAATAATGACCCGAAGTGCAGTGCACAAGAACAGGTACTCTGCACCTCTTATTTATTGAGTTATTGCCCTTTGTTAATTTTCACACTTTATTTTTGTGCGGGCCATTTCTCCTAAAGTATAAAAGCTATGGACTTGAAACTTCATAGGATGATAGATCTCATTAAGAAGAAGTGCAGTGCTCAAGAACTGGTACTCTGCATTTCTTATTTTTTGAGTTATTGCCCTTTGTTAATTTTCATACTTTATTTTTGTCCAGGCCATTTCTCCTAAAGTATAAAAGCTATGGACTTGAAACTTCATAGGATGATAGATCTTATTAAGAAAAAGTGCAGTGCACAAGAACTGGTACTCTGCATTTCTTATTTTTTGAGTTATTGCCCTTTGTTAATTTTCATACTTTATGTTTGTCCGGGCCATTTCTCATAAATTATAAAAGCTTTAGACTTGAAACTTCATAGGATGATAGATCTTATTGATAAGAAGTGCAGTGCACAGAAACTGATGCTCTGCATTTCTTATTTTTTGAGTTATTGCCCTTTGTTGATTTTCAAATTTCATTTTTGTCCAGGCCATTTCTCCTAAACTATATTGTTCACAAGGCGACACATCCGACTCGCGGAGTTCTAGTTTTCAAATCCCCCACATTTTTCAATTGAGTGACGGACAATCCCCCATAATTTTGAAATTCTAGATGCAACACTGCCAGATAACTAAGCATACTTTGTGGCACATTTAAGAAAACTTATCACACACAAATGCCAGGTCATCAGCAAGAAAGGTGAAGTCTTGTGTGTCAAAATTGTACATTAATGGAGTTATGTCTGGTCATATCTTTGTCATTCATTCATGGATGCTCATTGAAATAATTGGGTGATATGACAATGTATTTGTTAATACATGTACAGTAGAACTTTAGTAAGTCAAACTTGAAGGGACTTGAGTAAAAACTTAAACAAATCGGGACTGACTCATGAATCGGTCTCAATTTCATAGCAAAATTTCGAGCCATCGAAGTTTACCAGAGAGTAACAAAAGATGTAATAAATGAAAAGGGTGATAACTAACAAGCTTATATCTACCTATCTTCCATGAATGTCAAACCCCTCGCGGGACGTAGACATGTCTGGGCGTCAAAAATCGCAAGAAAGCTATAAAGAGTTGTTTAAAAGAGGATAAAAGAGTATTAAAAATGTTAAAAACAGGGTCTGGAAAAGTAGGGTGAGACATGTTCGATACAAGCTATGGCTGGACTGAACTGCTCTTGGGTAGGGAGTAGGGCTACTGCAGGGGGTAAGTGGTTCCAGTGCTATACTGTCCTAGGAAAGAATGAGAATTTATAATAGTCTGAAGTTGCTGTGAATAACCTATACATAAGGGATTGCCATGGCGTGATGTTCGGGAGAGGTGTGTCAAATATTCTTCTATGGGGAAGCAACCAGACCATGGCAAATCTTATAGAAAAGGGATAACCTAGCATCTCTATGTCTGAGTTCCAGTTTTCTAAGCTTAGTTGAGTGAAGCATGTCCGTGACGCTAGAGGTCTGACCATAATCTTGCTTAATTCATCAGGCTGCTCTTCTTTGGAATCTATTTGTGTTTTGTTGTGGGGAGACCATACTTCTGAACCATATTCAAGCTTGGGTCTGACTAACGTCTGGTAAGCAATGAACTTAATGGATTAGGATTTAACCTTTATGTTTCTACATAAAAATCCTAAGATTTGGTTTGCTTTCTTGGATGTCTTGTCTATATGGGCATCCCACGTGAGGTTTTCTGATATATCCACGCCATGGACTCCATGGAGGTAGTATTGTGTTGGGATTGGATGTTTCCTTTTTGCAACGTGGATAACTTGACACTTGGAGAGGTTAAATTTCATATCCCACTCCAACTCCCACTTTTGTAACCAATTAAGGTCATTTTGGAGGGTGACTGATTGGTTTGCAGTCATTTCAGAGCAATGCATATTGCAGTATCGTCTGCAAACAAGCAGACCTGGGAATTGTTTTGTTGGAGGTCATTTATATAGGAGAGAAACAGGAGGGGTCCTAGAACAGAGCCTTCAGAATCCGAAAAAGACCCATTATTTTAAAGTGATAGTATAAAAGTGAAAAAACGACTGCAACTTTGTTTAAAAAATAATAAACATACATCAATGTATGTTAAAATGGACTACCGTCCGTAACCTTAGGCCACCACTGCATCCATATATTTTTACACAAAATAATACCAGAAGAAGCTAATGTTGACATCAATTAATTTTAATCATTTTGCCATTGTCAGAAAATGAGGTTACACTTAAAATTTGTAGTAAAATACAAGTTTAGTGATAAAATTTTTGCGAGAAAATCGCTTGAAATTAATAGGTCTTTTTCGGATTCCAATGCATGTATGCCTTATTGTCATCGATTCGTGCCTTCTCATCGATTCGTGACCTAAATAATTGTCTGGTATAAATACTTCTGCAAGGACATACACCATCCGAAAACTACACAAGTTTTATTAGACACTGGATTTGACAATTCTATCCAATCAAAATGCGTAATTGAACAGGTGCAATCAGCTGGTGACCTAATTACTTTAAAATATTTGATATTGATGTTTTTATTTATCAAACACATTTACACTTAAGCCAAAAAATATTCATTATATTGTAAGAATTTACTTCAGACTTTGAAACATATATTGATCAGATCGGACTGAAAATAACCATGCGAACATTTAGTGGTGTGAGCACCTAAATTTTGATGACGTCACAGGGTGAATCGGATTTCACGAATCGATGGGTAAGCGTCCAGCTGAGCAAGGCAGTCATGGTTGACAAAATTTTCAACATTAATGGTCGATAGTAGGATATTTTCGTAACAGTTTTCTCAGCAACTACTTATCACAGCCTTTTGATATTTGGTATACACCTTTAACACATGGTCCCATACCGTGGGATTTGATTTCAGGTCTGTCGCTCATCCACTTCCTGTTTGCCAACTTAGTTAAATTTCAACATTAATGGTCAATAGTAGGAAATTTTCGTAACAGTTTTCTCAGCAACTACTTATCACAGCCTTTTGATATTTGGTATACAGCATTAACACATGGTCCCATACAGTGGGATTTGATTTCAGGTCTGTCGCTCATCCACTTCCTGTTAGCGACTTAGTTAAATTTTTAACATTAATGGTCAATAGTAGGAAATTTTCTTAACAGTTTTCTCAGCAACTACTAATCACAGCCTTTTGATATTTGGTATACAGCATTAACACATGGTCCCATACCATGGGATTTGATTTCAGGTCTGTCGCTCATCCACTTCTTGTTTGCCGACTTAGTTAAATTTTCAACATTAATGGTCAAATTAGTAGGAAATTTTCGTAACAGTTTTCTCAGCAACTACTTACCACAGCCTCTTGATATGTGGTTTACAGCATTGACATGTGGTCCCATATTGTTGGATTCCATTTCAGGTCTGTTGCTCATCCACTTCCGGAGTAAAAACTTAGTTAAATTTTCAACATCATTGGTCAGTGGTCCAAAATTTAAGTAACATCACAGCCTCATGATATTTTGTATACATATGCAACCCGGCCTTTGTCTTTGACCCATTTTTATGCTCCCCGAAAAATTTCGGGGGAGCATATAGTCGGCGCCTTGTCCGTCTGTCCGTCCGTTGTCTTGTCCGGAGCATAACTTGAAAACCCTTGGAGATAATTTGTTGAAACTTCATACAGTGGTAGAGGGCATTGAGGGGGAGTGCAGTGTCAAAGAACCATAACTCTATTTTGCCTGGTTTTTGAATTATCTCCCCTTATAGAAAAATCTTGTCCGGGGCATAACTCTAAAACTATAAGAGATATCAACATGAAACTTTGTAGGTGAATAGATCTCAATGGGTAGATGTACAGTGCATAAGAGCAATAACTCTTTTTGTCCTAATTTTGGAGTTATTGCCCTTTGTTAATTTTAACACTTTGAACTTTGTCCGGAACATAACTCTAAAACTATAAGAGATATCAAGATGAAACATTGTAGGTAGATAGATCTCATTGAGTAGAGGTGCAGTGCAAAAGAACTATAACTATGTTAAGCCTCATTTTTGAATTATCTCCCCTTTTAGAAAAATCTTGTCCAGGACATAGCTGTAAAACTATAAGAGATATCAACATGAAACTTTGTAGGTAG